TTATCAATCAGTGTCCATAGGTGCATTTTCTATGGCAGCATCTCAACTAATCAGAGTTCACTGACCATTCAGCACTCTCCTTTCACAGACTGTAAATGTTGTTTATTTCCCTTTGAAATACTATTCTTGTGAAATATCCTGATAAGTGAGCAAGATGACAAAATATGTCTCTTTTCAGCAATATTCAAGTTCAGCATGACCATATAATTTTCATCAATTCTACCCATCTACTCCTTAACTAGTAAATCAATTCCTAAGTCTTAACATCATTCCTAAAGTGTGATGCCCAGATGGCACACATTATTCCATCTGACACCTAATCAGTGAGTTACAGTGATTTAACACAACTTTTCCTTGTTTTTATGCTCTGTTCATCTGTTTATAAAATCCACAACCACGAATGATTTTAATGATTTATCAACTTGTCCCGTGACCTTCAAAGATTTATCCAGAATTTACATTAATATAAATTAAATGGTATAACTTCGACTCCTCATTTTTCCTGAAAAAAAAAGCATCATCTCACAATTCTTTTCATTAAATTGCACCTGGTATTTGTGTGTTCATTTTACCAGTCAATGTCATTAAAGAAAGGGAGTGAAAGTCTTCTAAAAGTATGGGTCATTCAGCATTCCACCATGCAGGGTTCTGGCAGAGGAAAAACAAAGTCTTCATTATTCATTTGATCTTAACATCACCACTGTGAAATACAGCAAGCTGACCTCAAAAAGGATTCATCGGGATAAAAGCAGCAAACCTGGTGACTAGGTTCATTCCTGGGCTGGGTGCACTGGTCTAAGACAAGTTACCAAATAGTATGAGCCTGGACTTCAGAATTAAATGTAAGCTCATTGAAAACTATCAATGTTTGTGCACTTATATGTTTACAGTATGGAAATATAGCACACTTTTGCCGCAATAGAAGTAAATAAAAAATACCAAAATACAAAGAAGCACTTCCGAAACCCTTTGTATTGCAGCTTTCTGCAGTTTTTTTTTCCATTAAATTAATATTCTGTTCTATTGCTTTCCCTTCCAAAATGAATAACTTTACATTTTCCCACATTGTACTCCACTTGCCAACTTTTTGCCCATGTACCTATCAGAATTTCTCTGTAAACTGATTCTATCCCTCTCAAAAGCTGCCCCTCTACCTATTTTTCATTTGTTTCCTATTTTATTCAGTCAGATTTCTAGCATCCATAGTACCCTGAGCAGCGCTGTCTGGAAACATTCAGCTTACTTGACAGGCCAACCCACCACCCCATCAGTAAACTGACTGTTATTTTAGTATAAATAACATAGTGATGATGTAGTGAAAGAGCTGGTTGAAACAGAAAGAAGAAGTATTCCACTCAATATCAAGGACCAAACTCATCCAGTTCTAATTTCTATTGACTTCAATGTAAATAAAGGTCATATACAATATAACCTGCCAGTTCAATAGCACCTATTAAATATTACCTCAGAGTCAAAGCCTACCCCAATTCTCCACATGAGGGATTTCTGTTCATTTTTACAACGGAGGTAGAACTGGAGAGTTATTCCCAACAGCTCTCAAACCTCTGCTCTCAACTGAAGGTGGGGCAATTGAATGCGTAGAAGAGCCAAAGTGAATATTGGAAACAATAAAACACATATTTATGCCACAGGGTGGCACAGTGGTTAGCACTGTCACCTTACAGCGCCAGGGACTCAGGTTCGATTGCAGCCTTGGACGACTGTGTGAACTTTGCACGTTCTCCCTGTGTCTGTGTGGCTTTCCCCCAGGTGCTCTGGTTTCCTCCCACAGTCCAAAAATAAGAAGGTTAGGTAGATTGGCCACACTAAATTTCTCAGAGTGTCCAGGGATGCGAAGGTTAGCAGAGTTACAGGGATAGGGTAGGTCTGGGTGGGATGCTCTTCAGAGGATCAGTGTGGACTCAATATGACGAATGGCCTGCTTCCACACTGTAGGGATTCTATGATATTAAATTCAGTCTTCCCACCCACTCTAGTGTGAAGCAAAACAAAATTAATAAGACAACAGAGTTCTACATCTGATAGTGTCATTAAAATGTTTGAGCAAAGAGCTCAATAATTAATCTTCATATAAATCATATTCAATTTTAAAATAAGTTTTTAGAGGCAAAGTAAAAATGTATCCCATAACAATTGTGATTGCTTAAAGTATATTTATAGAATTTTTTGAAAGGCAGAAAGGTATTCTCGGAGCAGAAGGCTGAAAATACTGCTCATGTGACAGAGTCCCAAATCAGAAAAGACATTAGGGATGATAGTTTACTTCACTCTCTAACTTTAGGCCAAAAACAGACAGAAATGTGTCAATGTTTTCTTTAAAATTAGTGGCCACCTCTTCCTCTAAAGTATAATTAGCTGGCATTCCGAGTGATGCCAAATCACGAAGAAAGTTAAAAAGTTAACGAGGATGCAGTCACCACGCTAGCATCAAAAAACAGAAAATGTCAACTCTCTAAAAATGTTTAGAACACATTGGCCAAAGCATATCGTCAGGAATCAGTTACACTGGTTTCCTCGCTAGTGTCTGTTAGTATTCCTGCACCCCCTTTCAATTTAAATCCTTCAAATTCACTTCATTGCAAACTACTTACTGCCCCCTAGTGACCGGGAAAGGAAGCTCAGAAATTAAGGAAGGACAAAATAGAGAGCAGACTTTTACCAAGGTAAAATATGGGCCTATTTTTATCAAACTGGCCCCATTAATTACCTACCTTGCCCCAATGGTGTCCTTCTTGTCCGATGCTAGCCCCATTTTACCATCGGCCATTCCCAGAACAAAGCGCCACTTACCTGATATGCTGAAATTGACCAGCATCCATGGTACAGTGCCCATTGTGCACCTGGAATCGCTGTTCGTTCTTAGCTGCCCTGAGCAGTTCATGACATTGAGCCCAGACATGGCAGACAAGGGGAAATTGGCACTACCCTGTGGGCAGGAACTGGGAGTCCTGCTGGATGGGATGGTGCCAACGCAGGATGTCTTCTTCCCCCAGGGCCAACACCCATGATGCCACACCATACCAGCCTGTTCCCAGGTTGCCAGTCTGGTTCAAGATTGCCAACCGAGTTACTGCAGGGCTCAGCTGTCTGGAAGAATGCACAACAATGCAGGAGAAAGCTCAAATACTTTGTTCATTCTGCCAGTGTAAGTGATACCTGACACTCTCTCTCTGCTAACCTACCCAGCTGCCAACAAGGTTCTGCTGTACCACCCTCACTATTGCCTGCAATATCTTCCTTCACTCACTGTTATCCCTAACCCCCAGCAGCACTAACCCTGCATGCCCCCGTGCTGCCTACTCACTCGCTCGGGGCACCTCACCACCTGCACCAACAATAACAACTGTGCCAACAACTTTCATCTCCCTTATTAAGACCATAAGACATAGGAGCAGAAATTAGGTCATTCGGTCCACCAAGTCTGCTCCGCCATTCAATCATGGCTGATAAGTTCCTTAACCCCATTCTCCTGCTTTCTCCCTGTAACCCTTGATCCCCTTGATAATCGAGAACCTATCTATCTCAGTCTTAAATGTACTCAATGACCTGGCCTCCACAGCCTTCTGTGGCAGTGAATTCCATAGATTCACCACTCTCTGGCTGAAGACCTTTCCCCTTATCTCCGTTCTAAAAGGTCTTCCCTTTACTCTAAGGCTGTGCCCTCGGGTCCTAGACTCTCCTACCAATGGAAGCATCTTCCCAACATCCACTCTGTCCAGGCCATTCGGTATTCTGAAAGTTTCAATTCATATTGTGTGCCTCCCTTTCATTCCAGGAGGAAAACAGCTCACAATGGGGCAGAAAGAGCCAAGATGGGTGGTGGGCTCCTAGACATTCAGCTCCTCGGCCCTCATGTAGGGAGGATCCTGACTCTGACCACCGTGGGGGGCTGACTGACTGTGTCCAAGCACCTGGGCTGGCATCAAAGGCTGCCCCTGACTTACTGTACTCACACCTGAAGTCTATCTCCTTTGACTTGACAGAGGCCTGCTCACAACCAAAAGAAGCACCTTGCCTTTGTGTTTGTGCTAAACAGAGAGGCAACACAGGCTGGTATCCTTGGCTGAGGGGGCAAAGTGCAAGAAGGCAAAGCAAGTGATGCTGCGAGCATCCAAGTTGGCTTAGAGTAAGTGTGCACTGTACAGGAAATGACCAGGTTGGAGATGGAGCCTAGTCCAGTCCATGAGCTAGGTGTGTCCCTCAGTGCACAGTGTCCTTGCTGCACTGTTCCAATGAGAGTTGCTAGTGAAGCCCAAAGGTACAGCATTAAAATGCAGAAGCATCCTGTAAGTGGACCGGACAAGTGCCATGGGGATTCTTAGAGGGTGGTACATGTCAGATACCAATGTCTGTGAATGTGGGATGCAAGCAGCCAGTGCCCATGGTGCATTCCCTGAGATGTTGGTACACAATGTTGTCCAACATGGAGGTCCTTTGGAGCTGAATTCTCCAGGTGCCCACTTGACGTCCATGTCTAGAATTCTCCACACCTGGGTTGTTCGGCACATTTGGCAAGATGGAAAGCTGAGCAATAATGAGACAAATTGCAGTGTTACTGAAGTGTTTAACAAGCAATAATCCTCTGAATTGGCAACTCACCATTGCCTAGTGTGAAACTTGCATCGCCACTCAGCAAATGGATAGAAGATATAGCGAGGTGACATCGAAACATGCCTCCCCAGATGTCTCATGTGATTCTGCCATAAATCTCTGCACCACACACATTATTCAGGCCTGGGTAAGACTCTGTTCAATAATTCCAATATTGTCTTTTGCTATCGTATTGACCAAAGAACCAATTCATTCTTTTCTAGGTACTTATAACAAAATGAACAAACTTTTAGCTGGAGAAAACATTCAAATGACGGGTTAAACACATTTCTGGAATGCACTAGGTACAATGGAATATGCTGAGCAAGGTAAAATAAGATTGACTGTCAGATATTGTTATTATGTCTGTACAGGGTTACTGGATTTACCTGAGGGAGAAGGTTGCCCCTTCACAACACCGTTTTTAGTTTTCTCCTCAAAATCCATCACCTCCTTGTAGATTAATTCTGTAAGGTGAAAGCAAAAGTCAGGTCAATGTCTATTAAGTGCTTGGAGCAAAAACAAAGTTGCTGGAAAAGCTCAGCAGGTCTGGCAGCATCTGTGAAGAAAAAAATCAGAGTTAACATTAACTCCGTATAGACTGTATCTACAGTGAACACCGACATCTTTCTTTCCCTGGAGCATTAAAGGCTGAGGATGACCTCATAGAGGCTTATAAAACCACAAGGAGCACGGATAAGATGAATAGCCAAGGTCTTTTCCCCAGGGTGAGGAGTAAAAACTAGAGGGCATAGGTTTAAGATGAGAGGGGAAAGATTTAAAAAGGACCTGAGGGGTAACATTTTCAGGCAGAGGGTGGTGCGTGTATGGAATCAGCTGCCACAGGAAATGGCAGAGACGGGTACAATTACAACATTTAAAAGGCATTAGATGTGTATGTGCACCGAAAGGGTTTAGAGGGATATAGGCCAAATGCTGGAAAATGGGACTAGGTCAGATTGGGATATGTAGTTGGTGCAGACGAGTTGGACCAAAGTTTCCAAGTTGTATGACTCTATCAACTAACGCTCAAACCTGGGACTCAGTCCTCACAGAAGTCACATTTACCAGTACCGTGTATATTTCTCTTGGCAGGCTGTAACACATTATCTCTGGAATGTGAACTGCCTCATTACGAAATCAGATCATTTGATATTGTCATTAGATTTTATCGTACCTACTGCTGTTTAGGAGACAAAAAGGATTTGATTCCATTTGGTTTGAAACGGGGAACTGACTTGTTGCAAGGAAAGTCAGATGAAAATGGAAGATGCTATATATCGGGAGATGCAAGGGCTCTGCTGTTGGAATGGGAAGATGGACCAAGTTGTCACCCTATTACATTGAATGTTCTGAAGCGATTGCACTCCAAGTGTGAGCAAATCTGAGATTGCCACACGGATTCTTTCCACTTAATCCCAGGAATTTCGGCCAGCACAGTCTGAGAATGGTCTGTACAGAGTCAGCATAGACTCAGTAGTCAGCCTATTGAAGGTCCCATTAATGCAGAAAGCAGATTGCTTACTCTTTAAGCAATTTGCTCCATTCTTCTCTGAGGAGAAAATTCTACTCAACATACTTTGTCCAATCTAGCCCTTAGCCATCCCTCTTCAGGTATTTATCTCCTCTCTGAGATAGCTGGTACTATTGTCTAAAGACAAGGGTACCTGGATTTGAGATTGGAATTACAGGGGAAGGCTCAGAGTGTCAGGCAGACCCGCATGACCCACATGACCCACCATCATGGGACCACACCTCCCACTATTTCCATGGAATTTCAATTCCATCTTTTTCCCCAGCCATTTATGCCTTGTTCCCCATCTATAATTATGTTTGAATGTAGCGTAGGGGTTTTCTTGCCAAAAGATGTAGGAGCATTTTTATTCAAATAGTTTAAATTGTCATTCTGATGTTAAAAATCTGAAAATAAAGGGATTCTTTGGTAATTTTAACAACTTATTCATATTTACCCTAACGTGCTCCTTTAAGAGAAATTCAATATGGGCAATTGTAAAGTTTTTTCAATTAATAGCAACCACTATCAACAAGTAACCGAAACAATGGATACTCACAGAAATTTCCTTTACCTCTTGCTATATGTTTACAGATATTGATTTTGAAGGTTGGATAGAATTATTTTTGACATGAAATATTAACAGTTTCTCTCTCTTCTACGCTGCCAGACTTGCTGAGTTTCTCCAAAAATGAAAATGAAAGTGCTGCAGTGTCATTTCTAAAACAAGGTGAAATTGAGCACAAAACATTAACTCTGTTTCTCTCTCCAAAGGTGCTACCAGAACTAGTAGGTTTTTCCAGCAGTTTGTGTTTTTATTTCAGATTTCCAGCATCTGCAATATTTTGCTTTTATTTCAAATTCTTCAGCTCTGTTTGTATTTTAAATATGCAGGGTAGATTTTCGATGTTCTGCTTGGGAGTTGCAGATCACTTGACTATTCTAGAATCTACTGATTGAGGACTCTTGTGTGCAGCGGTAGTGCCTATACCTCTGAGCCAGGAGGCCCAAGTTCAAGGTGAGTAATAACGTCTTTGAACATCTCAAAAATATTTAGAATCTATTGATAGTCAATTCAATAAATTTATACCTTGAACCCCATTTGAAGATCTGCCCATCATTTCTCACGATTAATCATCATTCTTAGAAAAACATTATGTCAGATAATCAAACGTATATGATCATAATTGTAACCAGAGTCCTTGGTTTACATTACCTTTCCATTCATCTATACTGTGCTCTCTCTCATCAAGCTGTTTATCATAGATTTGGGGAGGAGGCTATAAAACAAAGGGCATATACATTACGTATGGCATGGAAATTTACATTTTAACCCATCTCTCTATTCTTCATTGAAAGTCAGAATTATACACTTTCACAATTATCCCACTACTGTATTATTAATTAACATACCTCCAAACTCATTGTTTTAGTGTTATCAATGATTTAACTGTGAGTTACCACATGTCCACAAACTTGGAAATTATGACAAACAACTTCAAAACAGCTTGTGTGGCTCCAGAGAGCTCCAGACAGTTCAAAAGTTAATATACAACTGAAAATGTACCTGGGTTTTGTTTTTTCTCCTATCAACAATAGTCTCTGCTGTACTATATGCACCACAGAGTGGTGTTTTTTTGGTATGGCTAATTGGTTCCCTATCCCTGATCTATAATAAGTCATTATGATCTACAAATTGGTTGTTGGGTGTACCGCTACACTGTCAGCCATCAGTGGAAGACAATGATTTACTCTATGGTAGTCAACTTTATACTGTGAGGTTGTTGACTTGCTGGCCGAGATGGCTTGTTTTCATTCAGACGTTTCATCACCATGCTAGGTAATATCATCAGTGAGGCCTCCGATGAAGCGATGTTATTCTACTCCACTTGGAATTTATACTGTCCGGTCCGTTATGATGAATGGTGCCATTTCCAGTTTTGATCCGTTTGAGTTTGTGTATAGCATCCAATTCTATATGTTCGTTGATTGCATTATGGGTTGAGAACAATGCCTCTAGGAATTCCCATGTGTGTCTATGTTTGGCTTGGGCTACTATAGTTATCTTGTCCCAGTTAAACTGATGGCCTTCATTGTCTGAGTGTACTGATCTTAAGGAAAGCTTGTCATGTTGTTTTGCTGCTAGCTGATGTTCATGTATACTTTATAGTGTTTGGCATAGCTCAGGAAATCCACTCCAACATGGAGGTCTCTGCCACCCTTGTTGCAGATGTACCCTCAGAAGGTGGCCAGTTCACTGGCCTTTGTGATAACAAGGTGTAGAGCTGGATGAACACAGCAGGCCAAGCAGCAGCAGAGGAGCAGGAA